TTCGTTTTTTTGTTGTATTTTTTTTTCAAGCAAATCGTTATATCACTTTTTGAAAATGTTGCTTTTTTTGTAAAAAAAGAAATAAGTTCTCGTTTATTTTTAGCTTTCTTTAAACAAAATGTAATATCGTTGTGTTAATTGTTATTTGTTGTAAATTTTGATCGAATAAAGTTTTCTTCAAGACAAATTACAAAGAAATGAGGCTATTATAGTTTTTGCTACTTTAAATAGAAATAACTATCAAATACTTCATTTATTTACTACATCTTTTTATTAAAATAATAATTTAAAAAGATACAAGAACTTATCTTTAACTTAGACAAATCGATTTTAATGGCTTCAAAACAATAGAGTAATTAAATAAATACTTATTTAAAAACATATTTATTTTAAAATACTGGAGGGTGGGCTTAGTTACCTTAAATTCCCTATCCAGAAAGTATATCCCTGGTATTTTTGCAGTGGGGTTTTATCTGGACTGGAACCCATAATTTACTTATTTAACCATATGGGGGGGGGCTATCCCCCCCTCGAAAGTATGGTACTGGTATTGTTGAAGTTGGGTTTTATCTCATAGTTAATAATACTTTAAAAAAAATATTGGGGAAGGAAGCCTAGCCTAGTAAACCCTACTTCTGCAAGTACGGCCCTGTTATTCTTGTAGTGGGTTTTTTTTTTTATATCTGGACGCAGCGATTTTAAGTTATTTAAAAATATAGGGGAGAGAGCTTAGCCTTCAAATTCCCACTCCAGAACGGCCCTAAAATCAAATTTCAATCGATATTTATTACATGGCGAGTTTTCCACCTTGTCAATTTTCCGTTACCGAATCTTCCGTTACCGGATCTTCCGTTACCGAATCTTCTGTTACCGAGTTTTCCATTACTGAATTTTTTCTGATCGAATTTTCCGGGCATCGTCTAGTTCATGGTATTCTCAGCGGTGAGTAACCTATTTAAAAGTCTATGCAAATGAATATTGAGCTCGGATCTTCCCCTGAGATCATTTCCTCGTGTCATTACTCCACACTTCCAACTTGGGATGCTGACGGAACACAATCTTCTTCTCTAAGCTGAGATTGTGCTTATTACCGCACTAAACGAAAATGAGCCACTATTTAGCAATTCCTCTTCACTTTACAATCTTACATTTGCTGGACTAAGCTGAGCTTATTAATTACACAGCTCGGTAAAATTAAATTCGTTAAAAGCTGTTTCAATTACGATTCGTCATTTATTTCTACACCAGGGAACATAATAAAAATATATTTAGAATGTTTGCATCATATCACATTTTCTCTGACGAAGAAGGACAGTTTTTTTAGGTTTCTTTCAGATTAATCTATAAATAATCTTCATTTTTCAGCATTAAAATATGCCACCATTCTTTAGTAGACCACTTTTCTTTTCTTATTCTCTCATACTTGTGTCTTAGTGGATTTATTGCCTTGTATGGGGTGAAATGATTAAAAGAATTGTTTCCATAAACAAACAGATCCATGTTTGAAGAAATATAGGCCAAAAAGCATTTTCTATATTTACAATATGTCACTCTACGTGTGTTATTTTCTGCATAGTTATGTTATCGGTAACTAAACAAGTTCTAGTGACGAGGGTGGCTAGACACCAATAAGGAATAAAACTAAAATGTATCAAAGGGTAGTTGAAGCTACTTCTAGGGTCAACGGCCGACTATCACAATAGGTAAACTTTGCTACACAGCTAATTATGACGCCTGTGTGGTGCTGGCACGGAATCGCTTGCCGGTGGACTTTCGAGACGGAAGTCAGTAACCAGTTCGGGTAGCTCACCTGCACCCGATAAATGCAACAGAGAGAGGGACGCTGAGAGACAAAACAAGAGTGTGACACAGAAAAGGATTTGAGGAGGTCATCTTAGATAAAGCAGTTGTTCGTATTGAGGAACTAAATTATGATTTTTGATTTAACGATCTGTTAAGGACAAATTTGTCGCTGAACTGCAAGTGACCTTTCGAAATTAAAATGTTTCTTTTTCTTAATCTTCGTGAGTTTGTGACAGACTGAGGAAAGTCAGACGATGTTAAGCGTCCAAGAGGAAAACACAAAGAAAGAAAGAAAGAAAGAGAGAGAGAGAGAGAGGGAGAGAGAAGGACATAGTAAAACAGAAAGAGAGTGAGGGACGTAGAGAGATAAAAAGAGTGCAACACAGAGAAGGATTGGAGAGGTCATCTTAGATCAACACTGTAGTGCCTTTGATCAGGGCGTGCCTTCAACTTGGAAAACGCCCACTGGGGGTTGACATGGATTTTTATGTGCTCCCCCAGGTGTACTTGTCTAAGACACGCTTTGAATAAAATAATATTTTATCCGGCTTTCAACCCAGACAATGTGGAGGGAACTGGCCAGGGGTTCACCTGCACAGAAACTCTACGATTATACCCGGTCATGGGACTGGTGATGATAATGATGATATATTACATACGATTGACAGAAAGATCTCATTATGAATTTTACAGAATATAAGGAATCAATACTTATTCATAATCAAAGTCTACGTCGGCTTTTTACCCCTTTGTATTTTGTTTCAGTTTATTGATCAGACAATTAGCTACAGATTTATTGATGTATCGATTGACTTTTATTTTCTTTCAAGTTGTCTACTGCCGGACAACAGTAATGGCTTCCATCCTTCAAACTTGACTGAACCATCATAACATTTTGAGAAGAGTCATCGTTTGAAGATTTGAATTCATTCTCGGCATTTTATTTGTTCTCACTACCGGGTGGGAGCGTAACCAAGTGCATAGCACTCTACAATACCGTTCCGAACATGAGTCTCGGTTTCGAATTTCATCATGGCCGACTTGTCAAGAAGGTGACTGCTTGACAATATCAGAGAGAATTCAATCATGCAGAACCATTGGTAAGAGCTTGAAAAATCATACGACCGATTGACCTCATCCTTGAGGATCAAATTCGGTAGATGAAAAATTTTCAGAAAATATTTGTAGATCAGATGGATGTCACATCCCGTCACGCCCGTGTGACAGTGACTGGAGGAAAAGATGCCTGGTCAAGATTGAAGGTATTGTAGACCCTTCTCTAGATTTTCTCAAGAATCTCGAGATGCACATCAGGGACATCAGATCAGATATGGCAACACTATTCGGTGAGCAGACGAATGGTAGATTTATAAATGAGCAAGATAGATTCCTCTCCGGCTTGGTGATGACCATGTCTCAACTTTTACCCGCAACTTAAGAGCTGTTTTCAAGCACTCCCAATGATATAAGCTAAAAAGATTCTTGAGTGGACCAACCACACAAGGGATAACTTCATCTGTTGCTTGGTATATTGATTTTGGGCGCCTCGGTTGAAATTCCTCGCTAATGATGAGGCATCACTCACCTGGTTGGTGATGCGAAACGTCCTCAAAGTCGGCAAAAATTTTCTTCAGCTGGCTTGTGAAATTCATCCAACTGCGTCCAAGCAGTGAGTTGGTGGACACCCTGGTTACGCTTTCTGCAAGATGGCGTCTCATTTTGCAAGTTTATTGAAGACATAATGGTCCGCATGCTGCGAGTAGGGTTCTTCGTCCTTGAGGCCAATTCGGTTTGTAGCAATGTGGTAATGCCGTTGACTATGTATGCCGTTCTTGTGGTTACTAGGTGTTAAGAAAGTCATGATATGGAAGGCGCGACAGAAAGAATTTTATGGAGACGAGAAGTTTACCTCTTCCCAGCTGATTTTGTTCATTAATTATCAGCTTAAAGTCAAGATCAGGACAGGAAGGCGACGACTTCTTACATCAGAATTTGACAAAAGGTGAGTGAGTCTGGCGCGTATATGTCGAGTGAAAGGAGCCGACTTAGAGTGGCATTTTGATAACGCTTAGGTATCACGATATTAACCCATTAACTGCCAAATTTTTTTAATGCGCGTTTTTGGCACAGGTGTCTTAGCAGCTTATTTATTCCTTATATTTAATTTCAGTACTTACCAGTGTCGTTTTTTATAGAAACTAGAACATCAAATATATATGTGTATAAAACATCAAAAAATAATATTGATTAGAAATAATAAAAAAAATACTTTTTAAAATAGTCATTATTTTTCTACTCGTGAAATGTAAAATTACGACAGAAAGTGTCTTCTTACGGCTAATAACAAAAAATTTAAAGGCTAATGTACCTCTGCAAATGCAACGTATGCAAGCAAATCAAAGTAAATACAGGGAAAACATGCAGTGAGTTTAATTTTAACAGATCCCCAAATGAGGTTTACGGCAGGTAATGGGTTAAGAGCCTTGTATTAAATATTGGCAACCCCGCCCCAAATAGTTTAGTTCAAGCTTGCTTTTTTATGTTTTTATGCCAAGTTAACTTAGCTATAAAATGTACGATCATTGACCCCTTTTATTTTTGTCCCTGACGTCTTTAGTTTAATTCCCATTCCCTCATCTGTTAGATGACCAGTAATGACAATTCTCTGATTGATGCAGGACACTTTTCGTTTTTCGAGTGTGTTCTTCTGTAATTATTGTCGTGTCTGAATGAGTGTGTAGATATGTGTGTTTGATCGAATGATTCGTTTTTTGATTCATCCAAGTATCGCTCTAATTTCGTCAAGTTTCGTCCTGGGTATGACGATAAAATACATCCGCGTCCTGGGTAAAACGATAAACTACATCCAACAGCAACAGGAGGTTTTGCGGATCGTGGAACCACCTCTTAATTGCTGGTGTTCCCATGACCACCTTGACCCGGAGTGGTAGCACCTATTAGGGCCCCAGCTATGGGTAAATACTTAACCCCAGAAACTGGGGTAAAAACACTATGAAAGTGTAATAATATGTTTTAATACCAGAAATACTTTGTAAAAAATTATTACCAGCAATAAAGTTTTGAAGAAAAAAATATTAGATAGATAGTTAAAAAATATTAGCAGCAATAAAAATTTTATGGGCGTTAAATAACATACTGAGGTTGATATGCCGTAAAATAAAAAAGAAAACAAACCATTATATACTGAGATAGATAGATAGATAGATAGATAGATAGATAGATAGATAGATAGATAAAAAAATATTACCAGCAATAAAAATGTTGTCGGCGTTAAATAATCTACTGAGGTTGATATACCGTAAAATAAAACAAAACAAACCATTATATACTGAGATAGATAGATAAAAATATTACCAGCAATAAAACTTTTGTCGGCATTAAATAACATACTGAGGTTGATATACCGTAAAACAAACCAAACCAAACCAAATCGTCAAGTTAATAGCTATTTCTGTCACAAAGATTGGTGATAGTGGCATTAACAGTTTAGTTTTTTTTATATATATAGTATTATGCATATTGTAAATATTCACTGGGGTTTTCATTTTTAAATGTTATTCTTACCCACACGCCACAGACAAAATTGCACATATCAGGACTATTTTGAACTTCATAGAGACTGTAAGGTATTATGGCGATTTTAGTAAGAATGGTAAGTAAAAATGTCGTATTTTGGTGCAAGGAATATTGTATAGTTTGTTTGGGTCAGTGATTGTGGCTAGCTAAGTTTAAGATAAGACAGGTGATGACAAGCTTTCCTTATCCCCAATTTTAAGACTGTGACACATTTTTTTTAATGCAAAATATATAGCATTAGTCAAATAAAGCTTCCACTTAGATTTGTTACTATATTACAATAAGTAAAATATTAATTTAAATAATGGTTTTATTAGTTTAATTCTAAGACAAAAAAATTACAAAGTTAACAATAGGTTACATAATCTTTAGACTCTATATACTTTAAATATTCATAGGGCACATATAGAAGAATGTTGGATAATGACCCGGTAACGGCCAAATCACATTGAAACAAAGGTAAGCAACAATGAACCTGGTCATTTCCTAGATGGGTGACCGTTTGGGGATATCAGATGCTGTAAGCTTGGGTGTGAGGGTGGTTTAATGGATAAAGGCTTGGAATTTGAAATTGGAGAGTCGAGTTCCTGTTCGAGGAGAGTTCGTAAAATTCACTTGCGCGCCAATCACGTTAGGAAAGCTATGAATCCATCTCTTTTCCTTGCTATGGATTTGTGTCAATAAATCATTATTATCGTCAAAAATTTCTTATAGTCTCAAATATTTTCTAGATTTAAATAAGCTGAAAAATTTGAAAAGCCGTAAAAGATAAAACAATCAATCGATCAGTTAAATGGACTTTTTAACAATAAAAACATGAAGAAAGAGGTAAATACGGTGATTAATTATTGGAATCAGACTGGATGAAACAGTAAGATGGATGAAACATCTCGGTGTTGAGTAATGGTTAACAAGCTACAATGAACAATAATACTATCTAATGAGATTAATTCTTTCGGAGTACTCTAAATTTGTAACCTTGTGCTTGACTAAGACAACAAAAAATCATGTACCTTAATATAGTAATATGGTTTGCATGCTAGCACCGAGGATTCGATCCTCATGAGTTCTCCCACGATTGATGCTTGATACCAGATTATATTCTCCTTCCTTTAAACCACCGAAGAAAAAGAAAAGAAAAAAAATGAAAAGAAATAAAAAAAAGAAAGAAAAAAAAACGGATTCAGATTTTCTAGAAATATCGATTAACGATGTTTTTTTTTTTTTTAATTGTGTTTTTCTTTCACACCCAAGCCTAAAATACTTTTAAAAATTCGAGTTCGTCTTCTCTTGTATCAACAATTCTTAACCATTAATTTCCGGTGTGGACAGGAAGTAGGAAGCATTTAAATTGACATCATGGTAATGGCGGTCGACCGCGCCTTGAGGCCGCTTATGTGATCATTAATGTTACTGTGTCTCGGGTTGCTTTTCTTTAAGAGTTCTCTTCCTGGTTGCTCTTGAAATCGTACCGACATAGACTTCCTATTAAACTGTCCATGCGCTGACTTACGGACAAATGACAAAGTACTGTTGCGAAGTTAAGCAACGTCTAGCTTGGTACATGCTTAGAGTAACCACTTAGAGTCATAAAGTAATGATGGCTTTGTGGACTTGTGACAAATTCAACAATGTTTGATAAATAAATAAACTGCGTAAACGTTGCGCAGAAGCTTTGCCATTATTTTTTCGGGATTTTGTTTATACACGGAGGTTTCGCAATTGAACATTTGTCCTTGAAGCGGGATAAAAAGCGATTATTTCCTTTTGGTGGAGACAGCCGATGAGTAACGTCACTTCACAGAGTGCCGAAGTCAAAGTTTTTTTTTTATTTTATTTACAGCAGCCAAACCGAAAGCGTTAGCCCAGCCCCACCATGTCCAGGGCAGAGGATAGATCTGCCTCCCCAAGTCCATGGTACCGTTTCACTTTAAGAATATACCTTTTATAGAAAGAAACTCCAACTAGCATTTCTCAATTTGGGAAACCCCAGAATGCCTGTTTCCCGATTGTGGAATATGTCCTCGCCTGAGACATAGATGAATCCGGCTCGTTTGAATCTGGAGTCCGATATATGGCTTCTACAGAGACAGGAGTAACTCCATGTTATATATGAGATCCTTTCTTTTTGCTTCTCTACTTTCCGCGTGGGGCACGTGTATATATGTATATATAATTTTTTTGTATGACATAGTGATAAAAAAGTCTCTCTGAGAACAAACCATATTTGTTATTCTTTTTCCTTTCAGCTATTCCGTTCCCTCCGTGAAGTACAGGTATAATAATGTCCATTACAAGGTGGGAATACAAATGGGAGAATAAGTCTTTCTACCATAACTCCCTCCCGTTACATTATTTTTGGAACATTTTCCAAGTGATAGGTACTATACCCTGTTTAAGGTTAGGCAGTTTCAGGATTTCTGGACAGGTCTTTGTTCTAACTCCAAGTATTTGCCATGTTATGATCATTTCATTTTGTTTAAGGAAGAGGCTATTTTTTCCGATCGCGGTAAATTCGCTTTTAAGCTTATGTTACCGGTCCGGGTAACATCGAACCCAGGCTATTTTGCCGATAAATATATTTATTATTATGAAAGTAGGTAATGATAAAAATAACAAAACACATATTTAAAACAGCATTTATTTATTTTCACCATCAATTGTTAAAACAATTTAAAATCTTTTCCAACATCAATTGTTATAACACAAGTTAAACTCATTTATTCATCGTTAATTATTAAAAGGAAATGTTGAAGTCTCTGAACATTTTAAGCACTTCAAGAATAACATTCTCTGCAAATCCAAAACTTTCCCTTGGGTATGGTTGTCTTGCCAATACACTTCACATACACCCACTGAAGACAACATTCGCAGACCCCAGAATCCATGTTGTCCAAGACCTGCCTACACAGCTCACACAATCACTGCGCTAAGGATTTTTTTTATCACTGACAAATACATTCTTAGTTCTAAAACACTATTTATATTTACCAGCAAAAAAAACAAAAACAAAAAAAGACGCCTTAGTGTCTGTTTTACCGGGACCGGTAAAATAGCCTTGGTGTCTATTTTAACGGGACTTTACTTGGTGTCTATTTTACCGGGACCGGTAAAATAGCCTTGGTGTCTATTTTAACGGGACTTTACTTGGTGTCTATTTTACCGGGACCGGTAAAATAGCCTTGGTGTCTATTTTACCGGAACCGGCAAAATAGTCTATTAATTTTTTTTTATTTTTTTAAATTAACGCCCTTTTTCAAAAATGACAAAAAAATATTTATAAAAAATGCAACACTAATGCTTCTTTTTACCATTAAAAGAAATAATATCGAACATCAAGATTGTAGAATCGTCAGAATGCAAGGAAACCCCCAGGGACATGTGGATATACCCTGTGCGTGTCATATTCTCTAAGCCCTCCTTCCTCCATATGAACAATCATTTCTCGCTGTCTCTTTTTGATTATATGTATCCAAACCACATTTCTGTTGGCTCCAGTTTTATTTTCATCTGTTTTATGCGGAGTCTACGAAGAATTTTTGGTCGAGCCTACAGTCTCAGATACCCCACATTAAATTTTTCCTTGTGTCACATCTGACAGCATGGGACGGTTGGTAGGTATCCTGCAGTTGGAGATTCGTCTCCAGTTGTGCTGGTCAAACTCTCTGCCCCCAGGCAGAGAGGATCCCCAGACGAGGCTACGTCGAATGGCAGACTCTTGTCTCGGGAAACAGCTACCCGACCCCGTTTTCCCCGACCTGGGGAAATTTTTGGCTGAGCCTATGGGCTCGGATACCCCACATAAAATTTGGCCTTGTGCTACATCTGACCGTGTGGAGTGGTTGGTAGATATCCTACAGTTGGAGATTCATTGTGGAATTCAGTTGACTCACTTCTAGCAGTTGACTACTATTTCTACAAGCCGCTGACGAATCTTATATGTGTTGTTCTTGTCCTAAGTATTATCGTTCAGTACCAACCTTCTTGTGATTATTAAATTCAGTAACCTTCCCTGGTTTACAATACAAACTATTCTGATTTTTAATATTTTGCTTAGTTTTAGGAATGCATCTATATTCTATCCAACGCAATTTGGAATTTCTGTGTCATATTTTCCGTTGTCTGTTAAAACATTTCCCTGATAGTAAAATTTCTGTATTTGCTTGAGTTTGAAGTTCGTGGTTGATATCTGGGGTTGTTCCCCTTGCCCATGACCTTCGTGGTTTGTCAACACATTGCTTTGCAAGTTTTGTCAAGAAGTCATAAGGTGGCGCTGTCAAGCAACTATAAAAACGGTACACTTCTTGTTTTCATCCTCTTGCCTCTTTTTCTGACCAGCAGTTTTTAGTGACGACACCACTTGGACAAACACCGAGGCATGGAGATATCTTTCCCCTTGGGGTGGCAGAAAATTCACACATACTCATTTGTATCACTCGCACAACTCCGCCCTTTTAGTTCCTTCTTTATTTTGCATGTATTTGTCTCTCTTTTACTCAGTTATATGAAAAAAAAAATCGTCTTCTTGAAATTCATTAATTTCCTTAAACTCGTCATTTTTCTGTGCAAATTAATCCTGGGTATGACGATAAACTACAACCGGCAGCAAGATCAGTTGATTGGATGTTTTGAGGAGCGTGGAACCAACTCTTAATTGCGGTTGTTCGCAGATGCAGCCTAACCCAGGGTGGTAGCAACTGTCAGGGTCCATAATATGGGAAAATTGTGAACCGTCAAACAAAAATAATACATTATGGAAGTATAAAAGTACATTTTTATAGTAAAATCACCAATAATACATATTTATAGTAAAATGACCAACAATACATTTTATAGCAAAATGACCATCTATAAATTTTATCTGTAGTTGAAGGCATATAACTTTGTTGAAAATATTTAGGTTTCGGCATTAAGTAAACGATAGACGTTGATATACCGCTATATAAAATCAATCAACCAACCAACAAGAAAAAAAAAACAAACTATTTCATGACTTTAATCCATATAATATCCTATAATTTCTTCAAGAAATCAAAAATGTTTTCTAAAATACAACTTCAAAATAACTACAACATAAAAGTCATATTATCGCCTCTAGTAATTATATCCACACAAGCATGTATATGCACAAAAGCTGAGTATCATCTACCATGTACTCAACTGTGAAAGCAGAATAACATATATTTTTATTACTTCAAAGTTCCCAAGAAAATTTCGGCATTAAATAAACTCTAAGGAATTGGTATGCCATTAAACAAACGAAATAAACAAACTTGTGCAAAATAGTGTTGTCCCTGATTTTCTTCTAACTTGGAGCAGTGCCTGCAACATTTGGTGCCCGCGAAGTGCATGCTGCAAAACCTGCATTTCGTCTTCGTACAATGAATGATTAATCCTTTCATAACGCTTCGCTTTTTTACCTTGTCTAGAGATTCTTAAAGTTTTCTTTCTGTGACTGTCGTCAACACAGTGTCTTCCGCGTGTTGTATATTGATGAGATTACCCCCTCCCCCACTGATGATAAAATCTAGTTGGATCTCCAGCTCCCTTCGGATAGCCTCACTGTTGAAGTTGAACGAATCCGGCGAGAAGACACATCCTTGTCTTAGGCCCCTTTCTATTTTTTTGTGTACCTACTCAACTCATTTTCTCTGCATATGTAAGCTGTTTTCTTAGGTTCTGGATTATTCTAACATCCTTCCAAAATAGATCTAATTTTCGAGAGAAAAATTTTGATTGATAATTTTTTTTTTTATCTTTTGAAAGGAAATAGAAACTTACTCTAATAATATTATTGCTTTGGGTTTAA